ATATCTTCACCCTCCGACAGATTCTGGAACAGCGACACTGCTTCCAGCAACCAACAATGGTTGTTTTTCTTGATCTGAAATCTGCCTTTGACTCTGTGGACCGCCAAGCACTATGGCAGTGTTTGTGGGGCAAAGGTGTCCCCCATAATTTCTTGACCCTGATTAAGGCGCTGTACGCCAACTCTCGCAGCCGTGTAAATGTCTACGAGAAGCTTTCTCCTGGGTTCGCCACCCCCGTGGGTGTCCGACAGGGTTGTCCTATTTCACGTTCGCCCTCCAAACTCGTCGTTGATATGATCATGAAAGGCTCACTACCAGCCTCTAATGCCTGTGGGGTCGAAGTGCTCCCTGGGCCTCCGCTCACAGATATCGAGTACGCAGACGACATAGGTCTTCTAGGATCTGACCCCGTGGCAATGTAAACAATACTAAATAATCTAGATAATTCTGCCTCGGGGTTCGGTATGCGCTTCACACCTGCAAGGTGTAAAGTAGTACTGCAAGACTGGGTGGGCTCGAACCCTAGCCTCATGCTTGCGGATGAACCGATTGAGGTAGTAGACAAATTTGTTCACCTGAGCGGCTGTATCAGCCCCGGTGGTCCCGCGAAAGATGATATTTCCATCCGGATTGAGAAGGCCAGAGCAGCTTTTGCGAACCTACGTCGCCTGTGGCGTAGGCGTTACATCAGCTTCTCTGCCAAGGGTCGAGTTTACAATGCTGCGGTGCGCTCCGTATTACTACATGGATCAGAAACCTGGCGGCTGCGCGCCGAGGACGTCAAAAGCCTTTCAGTGTTCGACCATCGATGTCTTCGGAGCATTGCCCGAATCTGGTGGGAACAACGGATCAGCAATGCTGAAGTACGTCGAATGGTATTCGGGAGAAATAACTCACCCTCGATAGATGAACTGATCACACTGCACAGGCTGCGCTGGCTTGGCCATGTGCTGCGTATGCCAGTCGACCGACTTCCACGAAGGGCTCTTTTCGCACAACCACGTGAAGGGTGGAAGAGAGCCAGAGGCGGTCAAACAATGACTTGGCAGCGAAGTGTGAAGGCCATTACCAGCAAACTCAGCTGCGCTGGTCATTGCCGTCTTCCTGGATGGGGACCCCGAGACAGGTCACATCATGCATCCAAGCTATTGTCTTCAGTCCGTAGCTTCCTTCCTAATCCCCCATTTGACAGTCCATTGACAGTGCCAATTTAGCAGCTCCCGCCTCCAATGTGCAGCTACCTACCCCACCTCCCCGAATCATCGGTGAACGAAACTGTGGCAGCCACAACCACTTTTCGACAAGTACGTGGTTCTTACAGCTGACAATGATGATGACGGTGATCGCTTCACAAATCGTTTGAACAAGAAAGCAAAAAGCCGTTCCGTAGAACACATCGGTTAAGATAACGTCTAATGACAAAGGTCAAATGGCGCTCACCTGAAAACTCCAATATTGGTGGCACATGGCCTTCCGGTGGTTGAACTAATGGGTGAATAACGCTCTGAACAGGATCAATAGGGGTCTCCCTGGGATCCATAGAAGAGGTAGAACGGACTTCTAGTCGACCATCATCATTTAGACTGGAAAAGAGAAAAACCGGCGCAAATACGGTTCAACACAGACAGTAAATCAAAACCCTGTCTGAGGTTTGTAAAGAGAGGCAAAGTATATAAACGTTTACAGCACGCTTTTCCCTTCAGAATTAGAAGAATCTGCCTAGAATGAGCCACTCACATGCGTTTTTTTCGCGACATCTCGGACGCCATCATGAACCCAGGCCACGTTAGGTTATTTCATAAACGGAAAATACTGTACAATGAATGCAGTCATAAGGGTCGGTTTTTGATTAGAACAATAAACCAGAGAGGGCATCAATTTTTCACACTAATGCAGTCAAGCTGACCGCTGTTTGTAATGCAGACTCCGTGCTCGATAACGCGTCAAAAGAGGACCATCAGTGGATTTGTCTATTGAACTTAAAAGTAATCGACCAGATAGACTATAGTGTCTTCGGTTCAACTAAGGTCACGCAGACAAAGCTGGTGTGCACCTATCACTGACGACGCGGCCCAGTGTGACATCGAAGCTTCTGACAGTAAAAAAAGGAGTCAGATCGCTTAGCCTTAGTATCTTGTTTTGAGGAACGGTAGCTTTGAACGGGTTAATAGGTTTTCATAAACGAAACTACTCACAAGGTTGCTGAAAACTCTTCGACAGCGCACGACCGGTTTCGCCCTTCTTGGGACGCATCAACTAGGCGCAGTCCCCGAGTTTCCGTCAACCTTATGTTCTACTTGAACCCAAATTAGACTGTTTTCGAGAAATACACTCATTTGCAAGTAGAACATAAGGCTGACGGAAACTCGGGGACTGCGCCTACCTGATGAGCCCCAAGAAGGGCGAAACCGGTCGTGGGCTGTCGAAGAGTTCTCAGCAACCTTGTGAGTAGTTTCCTTTATGAATATATACTGCGATATCTAGAATATCGCCCCAACTGAATCGTGAGGCGGCCTGTGTGCAGCACCTTCAGTTGTAGAATATCATAAACGAGAGATTCAGTTGAGCCCCTCGTGAAAAACCGAATTGATTTGCAAATGAGAGTATTTCTCGGGTTAGTAAATCAGTCAAAACTCATAAGAAGCCGATAGACAGGTGACGCTTACCGAACATCCTTGCGAGCTGCCAGAAGCAGATCGTATTCCCCGCCCAGGTTTGTAACGGCATCAGCGATGGAGAAGTTCCGCAACTGAATGCGACCCTGGTAGCCAGCTCCGCGGCCAGTAAGACGGATCCAGGTGCCAGCGAATCCTTCCAGGCGAAACTCGGCAGTGGGGTAACCTTCAAGCAAGACCAAAAAGATAAGAGACCAATGACGTACTAACATTCAGGAATGGAAAGCCTGAGGACGACCATAGAACTTGATGAACGCGATGCCCAGTGAAAGACCAGGAAACGTAAGTTTCGGCAAGAAGTCAGGACGAAACAGCATCTTCGGCATACAACAAAAACTACGACGTCCCAACGGACAGTGAGTCTGGCGCATATGGTCGGTAGCTAGGATGACCAATCAAACGACAAGAGGATTCGCTCAGCAGCAGGACTGCCTCAACTGGGGAACAATGATTTCTCGGGTGTCTGCCCGCAGTTTTGCAGAAATTTCGGACAAAACGACTAGGGCGAAAGGGATTCGAAGGATGAAAAAAAGCAAACCTGAAGACGAAACGTCACGAATGCTGAACATCAAAGGAGCCAATCAACGTTGAAGATATTGGATGCCCTAGTGGAGATGTGTTCAAAAGAGGAAGAAATGTATATTCGGTAGAACAATGGTGATATCTCGTCAACTGGAAGTTGGACCATTAGCAAACAGCTTTCGCATTCAGCTGGAGGACAAATAAGGCATGCTAGCAGAATACAATCATTTTCAAACAAATGTGGTTTTCTGAGAGACTCACCTAGAACCCAGCTAGATCCTTCGTTTATGATGTTTTCAAGCAACTGAATGTGCTGCCACAGGCCGCCTCATGTTTCAGTTGCTTGAAAATCTGACAGCCTACCCAATGAGCCCCAAGAAGGACGAAACCGGTCGCGGGCTGTCGAAGGATTTTCAGCAACCTTATGAGTAGTGTATTGAATATGACGTGTTATGGTCAGCGACAGTTTGGGCGTCATTCCTATCAGTGAACAGACATCAATGACATCAATGTTTTGTAATGAAGAACCCACAACGAAAGCTATTATTAATGTCCTGTAGACTGGTCTTGACTATCGATTACTTCTTAGTAGGAATGCGAAGCAACGTGACAACAAGAAAGAACATGGAACCAGATAGGGCATCTAGCCAAAACTGATCGTGGAAGAACGTTTTAACCAAAAAAAACTGACCTTTATTTTCCAGCTGGACGATTAACTCCGCCACAGAAAATGTGGCTATCAGCCGCTTCCGTTGAGTAGAAAAGCTGGAACATGTCCATTTATCATTCAAAGTCTGGTTTGCACGGGGGGTCTCTGTAGATCGTGTTCGACTCCGAGACAGACTCAACCAAGATAAGCGTTCGGGACGATCCGAATGGGCTGTTGGCGGAGAAGCTGACGTGGCGACTTGCTTGCTTTCAGCGGTATATGAACCAGGAACCTCATGTTTTGGCCGAAGACACTTGAGCAAATTGTGGATTTTGGAGTCGGACAGCTGGAGAACGCAGCGTTCTTGTTCCAGCGTAATCCACAATGATGGAGGGTATTCACCGGTCTGATCAGCCAAAGTTTTGTATCGTCGAACAAGCTCTGAATAGGTGATGACCCGACGGCTGACAAGTAGACGCAGACTGATTCTATCCACGATAGACAGTTGCTGCAAAAGCCTAGAACTCGTCGGCGATAGGACTTCCTGTTCGAAATCGGTGCAGTCGGTGGGCGTATGGGAACCTGTTGCCAATCGATAAGAGATATGGAGACTTGTAGAAAAGAAAATTGCTCGCTTCTAGAATGGTAGTCCGAAAAATGGGAAGTAGATAGCATAACGAGGTCCCATTAAGTCACAATGAACTGGTCATTCAGGGAGAAAACTTTAGTGTCCTCAACAGTGGCCATTTGACAGACGGGGCGGGTTAGCACTGAAGCTATTGAAGAACACACTGTAAAATGTGTTAAACGAAGCGTGGAAATTTCAGCACTGATGTCAGCACTGAACATAGATGTCAGGTAGTCTCAGGATGGACACACAGTAGTGTAAGCTGCTTATGGAGACACCTTTTAATTGGCCTTGCTGAAGAAAATAGCACCCCCCTTCAACTAAGGAGTACCTTTATGTGGTCGCAAAGAGGTCTTCAGTGTGGACAAACATGTGATTCGTCCCCCCATCCCCCTCAAAAACCATCCATATTAGACACCAGCTGATAATCTCGTCCTGTAGTTGAACCAAAAATCTCCTCACATTACCATCCATCTAGAAGTAGCTCTTCAGAGGAAGGACAAGTTCACAAGATGAGTGAGACTTTCTTCTGAGAAGCCGTCACTCGAGGAGCCAGTCAACATGACACCACGTGGTGTAGATTCCGTGATTCAAGGACGAGTGGCACTACGTCCTTCCTGAGTGCGACGTAACCGGTTGTGGCAGAATGGATCGCAAATCGACCGAATTCTTAATTGAAACAATCATTTCGTTTCGCCAAATTCCAGTCGTGACCCCAACCACAACCAGTGTGTACAACACACAGAAAGAACACAACCCCAAGAAGAATCTAAGTCGCCTCTTTCCCGTAATCACCTACCTTAGAAGGGGATGCTGTAAAGTGTGATCTTCTAGGTTGAATAAAAAGTAGGAAAGGGGCAACAATGGTGTACGGAGGCCAGCCGTCCCTAACAACCGAACACCACATTATTTGGACGGATGCGTCACGTGCAGGACACGGGCAAACGAAGGCATGCCCTGATTGGTCAGAATGCCGGCCAATCCGAGTCAAGCACCTCTGACTCGACGCTCCTCGCCCCCTAAAGGAGATTCTGGTACGACCTTGTGGGACACTCTGTGACTACCTTATAAATACAGTTGTGATAGTTTTCCTTTGTCTCCATAAGGGGCTGTGTAGAGCTACCTTGCCTTTTGATATACCCATAGTGGGCGAGCAGGATGCTAAGGGACCGATACAGAGTTGCACTACCGTCCAGCAAGACACAACAAATAGTCAGGCAGAAGGAACAGAAATCGGCTACGAACAAGGGCATCATCGGTTTGCCTACCTGTATCACCGGGAAAACATGAATCTTCCGGATTCGTCCACAACTGCAACTTTTTCAACATATTCAACGGACCGACAAGCACATGAAGCTCGTCCAGATGAACCACAAAAGACTGATAGAGATTGACTTGTGGGAAGGCAGGATAGCAAGTTACACCGTCCGATGGGCTGGGAAAAATAAAGGGAGAAAAATATCGATGGTAACACTGAGACAGTACGATTTCCCCTTTTATCTACGGACTGCCACGGCGACGGCTCTTATACAACTGTGTGACTTCACAAGTCATGTTTGAGGAATGGGTGGCTCGCCCGTCTTCAGTATAACCGGTGTTTCTTGTTTCTAGAGAGATGTTTGGTGGAACAGTAAGCTAGAAATGGAGGTCGATATGTTCGTGACGACACCACCTAGATGATCCGGTCCTCACTTAGCTGATGCTCAAAAAATTGCATAAGAAACCAAAAAGTGAAAAAGTTGCATTCTGCGCTACAATGGCCAAACACAAGGTTCACGCGGAAAACGTCGTGTTGCAAACGCCACCGGACTAGGAGAAGTTGAAAAATAACCAACAAGTTGAGATAATATCCAGTCTCATTATCGGATAGGCATGAAAACAATCGGCCCCGATACGCCTGTGCCCGACAGAGTGAGTAACATCCATTTTATGGGTCGATCACTCAAGAACTGCACGTCCGTATTTACTTTTTCAATCAGCTATTGAGTATTTGTTCCTTAAGTTTAGCACATTCTCAATGCTAAACAGTCGTTTTACAGTTGTTCTATTTGCTGTCTTTCCAAGATATATGCTTTTTACTCCTTAACCGAGTCAATTACCGGGTTACAGACAGATACGATTGCATTGAGCGACAATTATAAAGGATCCAAAAGTTTGCTATAGTCCAAAATTCTGCCATTGGCTCGTGGCTGGTTACATCCCCGACTGAACAGCATAGCACAAAGACGAGGTCCGACTAAGAAATTAACCAATCAACGTGGTTTGATGAAACGTTCCGATAACAGTCGATCAGTTCAACTAACCCCGAACCGAAAACGGTTCTTGGTTCTGCATCCAACTCGTCCAATTCTGCATCCGATTGATTGTCCGGTGTACCACAAGGAGTGAGAAACAGGTCATCTTCGTCCTTCGCACTCCAAGCAGACTGTGGTGAAAGAAGAAGTGATAAACAGACTCAATGGAGCATTGTGTGTGGGGCAGTTGGGCTCACATAAACTAATGGACATAGAAGTACCAGAGAGAGATCATATTAGCAACAGTAGCCCTTCATCATTGGACAGCATGGGTGCACACTGCGCACTAATTCGAAAGTTGCTGTACAGTAGCCTTCCTCTCAAATCACGTAATGAAATGTTGACATTTTGTAGAAAAAAATTAACAGGAAGTGACTCGGTTGCTCGTGCTCTGAGTGGGATAAGACATTAAACGCATTGATTAGTGGTCGAGATATGCATTTGCGAGGCAGATTTCATCAAGATCCCATTGGATACGAAAACAGCTGATCGGTTTAGAATAGAGAAGACAGCCAGGTGCAGAGACAGCGAGCCTGGGGAGAGACTGTTGAAGACAAGCTGACTCCAGGCGGAAGTCGAATCCACGGTAGCCCCGGATTTTCGCACTACCGGCCAAGGTAACTCCGGCGCAGGCTCAACCACACACACCTGAGTGAAATCCACGAGATTTCAGCTGGTAGAGTACTAGCCTGACAAACGAGGTGTCATGAATTCGAGTTTCGTTCGAATTATGCGTCCACTAGAAAACATATGCTTGCGAATCGGCGATTAAAAAACTTCAACTTGAAGTGATGTTCACAATTCCTAACGGATTAATTGAGTTCGCTCCCAAAACAATCGATTAGTCTTCACCAGCGTACAATCCAGTGAAAAGCCTCTTTTCAAAGGAATAACTTTTCTCGGTATATTATACGACGGTATAACCACACTACAGCCCGTGGAATTTGACTAGTAAGCACATCCAAACAACTTACCCAGATTCCGTCTGCAAGCATAGTTAACTAAAACTAGACGTGCCGATAATACTAGCGACAGGTAGGTGAACCACAAACACTCGTTGCCATATAGCTGGCACCCATCCGATATTCGAACCACAGATCTTCCGGTCCGTAAGTTGGCGCTATCTCGAGCCGACTAGAAACCAGAACTACAAACGTCTGGTGAGGTAATGTAAGGAAGCTGACATGGAAAGACGATGCATTTCTCAGCTCAGTGACATCCAGCCGATAAAAACATGATGGGTTTACCGAGGAAATACACTGTCCCCCGTTCCTGGTAACCAAAGCGAATTTTGCGAGTCAGATGGGTTGTGGATCAACACGACTTGTTAAATCAACAAGGACATGAGCCAAGCAAGTTAACCGAATAAAATACAGTATGCGCTGGAGGGAAATTGGCAACAACGCAAGTGGTGGTTGGACGGGCATGAGTTTATTTGTATATGTGCGATTCATGGTTGTACGTGGGCTGGGATACTGCCAGGGCGTCCACACCTAGACAGGAGGACGATTAGGGTCCTCAACCAAAGCCTTTGGCTCAAAAGCCTAACCGCAAGGCAGCGGTGTTTGGCGGGAAATGCAAATGCATTACCATTTCTACGGAACAAGTCGCCACATGTTCCAACCCCCAACCTGGAGGGCCAGGAGACTGTGTTCGTCAGACCTCTGGACGGGCAATGCGGAACGAAATTGTTTCTAACCCGTCTCGGTTCGGTCTCGGACAATTATTCCGTTAAAACCATTCCTCTCCAGCCTGCTAAGCCAGTTGTTAATATTGCATGCATCACTTTCATGGTATCACCATCTCCAGGCTACATGACGCTGATGCCTTTCCCAAAGTACGACGACCGGCTCTGGGTAGAGGCCGAGGTTAGATGCCAAACACTGGCTGTACCACAGCAAGCGAAGGGACAATGCCAGCATCAATTGTGTTGCTCTTACCCTAGTTCGACCAGTAAATCAGTCCCGCGAATTATGGAAGTCGATACCACTCAAATAAGTAGTCTGGCACTTGAAGGGTAACCCATCATACAATCCAAAAATTGCAGAGTAAATTGCAGCGCGAAAGTGCAGATCAGTTTCATAAACAACGTCAAAATCTTGTCCATCAAGTATTCGGCAGAAACCCTCACCGTTTGCAACGACTGAAGTGTCCACTTCGCTTCTGCTAGCTGAGGTGACATGGTGGTAATGGAGATTGCCTTGAGTTTTACCGACTCCAACCGGCTTTTTCGGGCGCCCACGAAAACACCTAACAACGTGATACTCGAATAACAATTACGCAGCAAGTCAACTCCACTCACTATATTCGAGAAAGACGCTATCTGAGCGCCTTACAACTCGCCCCAAACTGTTACAAGCAAGGCAACTCAATGTGAGTAGCTGGAAATCTGTCTCGACTGCTATCACCGCAAACCTTAAAGCACCAACAACTAAAACCAACCGGCAGGAGCCTTGGATGATAATCTGTGGGCTACACAGTGCTGTCCGGTAGGCCGACGTCCGAAAATCGAAATCTGTGCAAAAGCTGTGGAACTGTTAAACCTGGACAGGGATGCCCGATGAAACGGTTAACCGAAATACCTCATAGATATTGGGGTTCAGACGAGCTTCACAATTAGGCGACTGGAACAACTCTTGGAAAAAAAGGCTTCCACAGAACTAGAAGGAGACGTCTCTCATTCCTCTCATCCAATCTTCTTCAGAGACCTATGAACCTCCAACAGCCCGTCCGCCAACACAACCGAGCAGGTGAGAGCCATCCGCGGAACTGTCGAAATGAATACTAAGGGTACCAACGCGACGGACCAATCAATATACAGCAGAACACGATCAAAGCTGACGCGGAATTGGTTTCTAGCACGTCAGCGATGTGCAACGGGGGAGTAAAAATCGAACCAACGTCGTCTTTGCTTCAGATTAGCATGCTTAGGTCGTTACGATCTGAGACGTCATAAGGGCTAGCTAGTCCGCTCACCGGGGGCGGTGATCGTAAGTGAGAGAAAAGCCACTCAAAGAACGACCGAGAAATATAATCGAGGATAACATAACGAGAACAAGATAGCTTACAGGAGCCCCGCGGTCCTCAGGAACCCATTCCGTATCTCTTTGATTCCTAGTAGCCATTTCTGTTTCTGCTAATGGCCAATTGCTGACTCTCAGGTGCCCGAAATTGCAAAGAAGTCCGATAACAGGCTGACGCCGCACGTCACCCCGTTCCATAAATTCAGAGAACCGATTTGGCAACAGCAACCTTGGTGCCGATATGTCAAGTTGAAGATGCCAACGTCGAGGTCGCTTGCTCTTGACGGCTGGCTGAAACGAACTGGTGGAGGGTGAAGCGCTTCGTGGAGGGAAAGTGGTGTCATTGAAACCATTGGGTTTGGATGTTTCGTCTAAAATCGCCCGAATATTGGCTTGGGTCCGTTGCTTGATGACTTCATAGTGAAGACGGGCAGATGCTGAATGGAACAATGGATGCAGGGTGTAAACTAAACGTGGGATGGTGCATAGAATACAAACAGGAATGCGCTGCGACTGAATGAGAACAACAGAGCTTCATAAAGCCAAGCTATTCGGGAAAACAAACGTACCATCCGCGTTCACTCATCAGGATAGTCGGGACGCGGAATTCAAACCGCTTAGTTGGTTCCTAACCGTGAGAATTCTCGTCGGAGAACCCGTACCAACTGACGAAACAGGTAAACAAACCAAGTGAGAAAACAAAAACACAGTTCGCGCAACTTCTAACACTGAAATGAAGGTCGGTAGTCAAATCAATCAATCAATCAATCAATCGATCAATCAATCAATCAATCAATCAATCAATCAAATCACTGTACTGTGGAGATAAGGAACTCACACTCCAAATCAAGAGACGCAGCCGATGCAACTGTTTGCAGGAAGTCCACGACACAATCGATCAGTTCCGGTTGGTAGACCACGTGTAGGGGATCGGTTTTGATTTTCAAGCTGATAAACAAAACAAATTAGTATTAGGGTTGTTCGGAAGCCTGATATTTTAAGTTCAGTATGATCTGATAAACTGAGCGTGATTGGTAGGAAAAGCGCTTTCTGAAATGGCCACCATGATGCTGGTTAAACGTGAAAATCAGCAGGACAGCGATTGGTATAGTTACATTCCGTTTGCGATTGTCTAACAAGCACAAATTAGACCAAAACCGGATCACACACTTGAGGCTACTTGCAGACCAGTACCAAGTTGTACCGATTTTGAAAACTACACACCTTCTATCGTAGAGACAAGTCAACTATAGTTGCGAAATGAAGGAATTTTGAACAGCTGTTTGAGCGTCAATTATCTTTCGGAATTTGGAAAAAAACCGATGCAAATTGACGCCATTCTACATTACGCAGTAACAATGTGTTAGAACACCTGATTTTCGGCTCACAAGTGACGCTGGATCTGCAAACGGTTGCTATAGAAACGGGGCGAGACGGCCCAAGTGGTTAGAGTGCGAATTTACTGACCAGAAGGTCCGTGGTTCGAACCCGGCCTCAGCCTCTCGACCCTCTTGTCTAGGCTTGGGCAACCTGGCAGTATCCCAGCCCTCATGCAACCTTCGGGTGGCATGGCAGTTAGGCACCGAAATGGTGCTACAGCTGATCGATTTTTTATAGAAGCCCGTAGAAAGTTGCTGACCTGACTGCCTAGAAAAACATCCCCACTGAAATCCTGCAGACACCCAAGTCATCAAAGGGTGAATGAATATCGTGAACAATTGGACAAACCAATAACGACACCCGAGGTCATTAGTGTCGCTACCAGACAGCTGTGTCGCGTTGGTCCGTCACTCACCCTCGTTTTCATCACCATGAGGTTACTCAGTCTCCTATGAAATCCTTCATCATAACGCCAATATTCACCATCCATTGTGTAAAGCTCCTTCATAATCTTAAACTATATGATTCAATTTGACTCTGTGGACCATCAGGCACTATGGCAGTGTCTGTGGAGCAAAGGTGTCCCCCATAAACTCTTGACCCTCCTTAAGGCATTGTACGCCAACTCCCGCGGCCGTATGAAGGTCTACGAGAAGCTCTCGCCTGAGTTCACCACATCAAGTGGTGTCCGACAGAGCTGTCCTCTTTCACCGTTCCTCTTCAACTTCGTCATTGAGGCGATCATGTCTGTTGGGTCGAAGTGCTCCCTGGGCGCCCACTCACAGATATCGAGTACGCATACGACATAGCTCTTCTGGGGTCTGACCCCGTCGTAATCCAAACAATATTAACTAATCTAAATAATTCTGCCTCACGGTTCGGCATGCGCTTCACACCTGCAAAGTTTAAGGTGCTACTGCAAGACTGGGTATGCTCGAACCCTAACTTCATGCTTAGGGATGAACCGATTAAGGTAGCAGACAAATTTGTTTACCTGGACAGCTGTATCATTCCCGGTGTGTATATGATTCAATACGCCCTGTCGTGGCCGACAATTCACCCCTTATTGATTGTGTCACTGAATTAAACGCTAATTCAATGGCAGTAATTGAGATCGATTGATCATTCTCATAGGAACAGGACCTTGGCTAATCCACTAATTCGCTCCGATAGCGCAGATGGCCAAGGTGAGTTGACGTCTCTCAGGTGTAGCACCGTTACAGTAGCTAGCCACCATCTACCTAGAAGGAAATACGAGGGCTGAGTTATTGTCAGGTTGCCCGGTGCTGGGCAGGTTCGGTAGAAATGCAGAGGTGGGGTTTGAACCACGGATGACTGTGGTACGCTACCACTAAATCCTTTCCCCATCCACCTTTATTCTTTTCTCCACAATATGGCTTTCAAATAAATCACGGTTGTACAGCGGCGAAGCATCCGTGTTGAACACTGACGTCACGGCGTCGATGAGGATGATGATGATGATGATGATAGGAGACAAGCACGATGGAAGGATTCAGCACTATTTCCGAAACATCGTGGAAAGTCTTGATCCGTGAATGTATTTTTATGTGATGAAAACCTCTCTGTGAAACAACACAGTGGAGGCACTATAATCCCCCATCGTCACCTGCATCGGGTTCAACAAAGAGTTCTACAAAGTTGAAACGTCCCCGCGGCTTGTAGTCATTCTCCCGAGAGAACGGCAGGTGACTGACAGGGAGGTTGGACTGTCAGATAGGGAACTAATGATCACAATCACTTCTCAAGTCCAGGAAGGGATTCTGGTCTGTGTCGTAATCCTAGTACATATTACAGCAAGACGCCGTAAAAACGATTGTGAGCAATTCCATCAGATGGACGCCAATCATCCCAAAACCACGCTAGTACGAGGATGTGGGCAGGCACAACACATATATAAAAACAGTCTGTTTACTTAAGTGCTGGATAGAAGACCATACCATCATGAGCATTAGTATAAGTAACAAAGGTGTGCTACCCCCCTCCCCCCCCCAAAAAAAAAATTTTTCCACCCACCCCTATACGAAAATAAGTAACAAAGGTGTGCTACCCCCCTCCCCCCCAAAAAAAACGTTTTATCCACCCACCTGTAGTCGAAACTGGACCCAGGAGGTCGAACTTCATACACAAGCCAAAGTAAACCGCTCGACTGTGTTTGCTCCATAGCTTTGTCTGGAGGGCAACGTGATAACGATGATTCAACTTTCGAGACACGCGGGAAAACAACAAATGGGAAGGTAGGGCGGGATTGACCAAGGTTTGTAGACGTGGTGGAAACCATAAGGTGACGTTCATCGCGAACCATGAATGATTCAACACTGGCAGCGAAACGAAGTGACCGTTGCCACGGCTCAGCCTCCACAGTGAACTGCATACTTTCGCCGCAGACGGAAATAAACGCAGGATGCTGTAAACATCAAAAGATGGTTGAATAGCGATAAAATCCGGCTCATCGCTTACCGTCAGGAAAACGAATGGTCAAAGCATCCACGAGAAGGGCATTAAACGCAGGACTCGGTTCTTTAAAAGAGCATGCTAACAAAAACATACTTGTAGACACCGAGGTAAGGCAACACAATAAAGCGATCAATCAAATGCCAGCCTCGTTGGCCATTCCGCATGCAGCTCGTGAGCAGCAAAGTGGATAAAACGGATCGGAGTACAAAACTATTCCCCTAAGCTAATCCACGGCTAGTTGGTCCAGCCGTAGCCCCATTTCGGCGCTTAGCTGCCATGCCACCCGAAGCAACCACGAGGGCCGAGATACTGCCCAAGCCTAAACAGGAATGGTCAAGATACAGAAGTCGGACTCGAACCACGGAGCTTCCGGTCGGTACATTCATAGCTTAACGACTAAGCTACCTCGGACCAAAGGATAAGGACCACGTAGACTATCTCTTCTAAGCTAGGACCGGGGTCGGATGAAACAACCATCAATGGGATTAGACGGTTCTTCGCTGTTGTCTTATCGCCCAAAGTGCTACCACAGTCCGGGGGCGGGTTAATCCCCCCCCCATTCGGGTGATAGGGACGGACTATCTGCCACTACGTGGGTTCACTTACCCAGATCTATCAGGCTCCAGACTTTTCGGATACGAATAGTACAAGAGTCACAAGAACCATAATCTAGTTTAGCCTGCATGGGGACGGTACATATTCTAAAAAGCTACTAAACTGCACCAGTAAACATGGTACAGTAAACATGGTTCAGTAAACATGGTTCCATAAGTAGAAAAATCAGTATAGCTTAAAAGTAACACGATCGGTTCGGTATGTATGACCGTATTTCGCCAACTCCTGTCCAGCGAAACCGTTGGCTAGGCACACCAAGTGGTCCGCAGGGACTTGAATCATCATGACAAGCGTCGGTCCATCAGCTCGTTTATCGCTCCGGAAATTTTGAAGAGGATGGGTAGCCCTTAGTTTCCACGATTTACGGGTCGGTTGCCGCCTACTGATCTGTGTATGTGATTATGACTGGCCAGGCCCGTATGTCCAACGTCTCCTACGCTGCCGTAAGTAGAAAAAAAATCGTCCAGCTGTAGCAACATTTCGGTGCCTAACTGCCACGCGATTCGTAGGAAGCACGATGACTTGGATAATGTCAGATTGCCCAAGCCTAGATAGGGGAAGTCGAGTGGCAGAGGTAGGGGTCGAACCACGGACCTTCCGGTCAGCCAATTCGCGCTCTAACCACTTGGTCTCCATCTCGCTCCCCGTAAGTAGACATTTGGCCAGTTCAGTGAACGCGAAGGTCAATGTATTACAAGGAATCCTAGGACAGTATAAGAGGCCTATTCGCCACAATGTGTGAGTTAAAACAAAAAAAACGATCAACATAAAATGTGACAAGGAATTTCGGTATCAAGTCAGTGGTTACAATTATGTATCATACCACAGAATCTGCCATGCCACCCGAAGGTTGCACGAGGGCTGGAATACTGCCAGGTTGCCCAAGTCTAGACAGGGGAAGTTGAGTGGCAGAGGTCGGGTTCGAACCACCGACCTTCCGGTCAGTAAATTCGCGCTCTAACCACTTAGGCCATCTCGCCCCCACAGAATGTTAACCAGATACAGTCGGCGTCTCTCAGACACCATTCAGGAAGTTGAGACGAACCACCAGAAGCTAAAGGGCCGTAACTGTCTCCGTAACGTCGTTTACTGGACTCCAGCCCGTTCCCACAGAACGCACCCAGAGAGACAGTCACCAGGCACACTAACCAAGAGAGTTGGTGCCGCATCAGAACGGCAGTAAAATATCTACGCTAAGTGATGGACCCAGTCATTACTCAGACGCTGTTTCCGCCAAAGGTGGGTGCCGCTGCAAAACAGCGGTGATCAAAAGCGGCTACATACAGAGCCCATAGTTTACATCCAAATAGGGTAGAGAGAGCATAGGGAAAGCTAGGCTGAGCAGAACACGACTAGGTTTTTTAAACGCCGATCAGGCCTTGGTAGTGTGTCATGTGATGGTGCGGCTACCCAAACAGACAAATTAATCCACCGGATGGAGTTTGGCAGATCTGAGAGCGACAAGAATAGATGAAAGTCATCAATTTATCCAACGTATGGTGAGCGTCATGCGCGTCATCTCAAACCAACATTGCGGTGTCGGATCTATCCGGTGTAACTCGAAACCTGGAAACATCATAGGAATGGACAGAGGAGCTAACCTTGTTGAACAACGTTTTAGACGGAAAACATCATGTACTTGACATTGCCCTAATGTATGTCAGAAGAGCGTTCTCACTGCATTGCAAATCTTGTCCGTGAATTTGATGAGGCGATGAGAACTAACAACAGTACGCGTTTCCACAACCACGACCGGGTTGCAATCACTGAAGTGAAAGTTTAGCTTAATCAGCGGCCATCATCATCACCATCAAAGAGAGCAACATCAGTGTTGGCACCGACACTTCACTGCCGTATATTGCCGTCATGAAGAGATTGGACCTTACCGTGGTGTGGCGGTGTGTGTACCTCGGCGACCCATTGAGCTATACTGGGGGGTGTCTGCACGATGCTCACAGAGTCTCTCATACCAGGTTGGTCAATGGTTAGAGGTCTGACGAACACAGTCTCCTGGTCCTCCAGGTTGGGGGTTGGAACATGTATGGCGACGTGTTCTGTAAAAATGGTAATGTATTAGCATTACGCGCCAAACACCGCTGCCGTGTAGTTAGGCTTTTGAGCCAAAGGCTTTGGTCGAGGAGCCTAATCGTCCTCCTGTCTGGATGTGGGCGCCCTAGCAGTATCCCAGCCCTCGTACAACCCTGACATACGCAACTAACACTACTCTCATGCCACAACAGCTACCACAATCTGGCGGAGCCATCAGTAACTGAACAAGCTACGGCATTGATTTGAAGGGCACACTGCTTTCACACATTCTTCTATGCAAACCTAAAACGTACACCGCATACAAGTGAACACCCTCTAAAATGTATACCTTTGATCGTTCAGGTGTAGCACCCTTTCGGGGCTTAGCTGCCATGCCACCCGAAGGTTGCACGAGGGCTGGGATACTGCCAGGTTGCCCAAGTCTAGACAGGGGAAGGTGAGTG